ATACATACATACATACATACATACATACATACATACATACATACATACATACGAACTCAAATATATATTAGATGACATGTGATCATCGGCGATATGCTGCCGCGCGCTATGCATAAGTTAGACTCTCGTTGGGCATAAGTTGTGAACGCCGGCAACACGCTAAGCATTCGTTGGTATAAGTTATATAAGTTATCGAAACGTTCTATATACGTTACTAATACATAACGTATACGTCCAACTTGTTATGAATACGCTATGTATACGCCCAAAATTAAAAAAAGCATTGATAGTTCAGCGTATACCAGCATTTTAGAGAAATTTTGATACGTCGGTATACGCTGGCTTTCATACGTTGGTGTGACAGCGCCATAAGCTGTGTTGGAATTAAATGCTGTACTTCAGCAAACTAATAGCTTGGCGTAAAGTTGATTGATAAATACGATTGGGATTTTATTCTGCCCAAAACACTGCCCATTGGACTATGCATTGCTGTATTGATTTTTTTTTAGCTATATAAAGAAGATAAACTTTAGTTGTAACTTAATTGCCTGAAATTGGAGAGAAGTATGACTGGCTAGGTTTTCAGGTGAAACTGAAATATTAAACTAAACAAAATTTCTTATCGCCTGACAAGTGTAATTGCACTTGCATATGTCTGCATTAACAGGCAATTTATAGTTATTACTTGCTTTGCAGCGAAAGACTCTAACAAGAAGAATGGCGGCAAGGCACGTAGCCGTGATCTAAAGAAGGGGGCCGGATCCAAGGATGGAGGAGACGAGATGGATGCATTCCGAGTCAAAGATAGCGAAGCGGTAAGACAATGAACATGCACCATCGAAGCTGTTACTTGCGTGAGCCTGAAGGGCCTGCTAATGACTGCATGTCTGACTGTTACTCAGGTTAAATCGGACGGTGTTCCAACATGAGTTGTCAGGCAGTTGCTGAAAGGGTTGTCTTGTCTTGTTTGCAGAGAGTATCTTCTCCTGCACCTGTCGAGAAACCCAGTGCAGAGGATGTCGTCAAGAAGGAGCCAGAGCCGGCTTTGCAGGGGCCTGTTCTTGCACACAAGCCCCTCTCTGGACGCCAGGTGAGCTGTTTTACCTCGCAGGTATTGTCCATCCTCTCTGCACAAAAAATATCTCCCACAAATAAATGCGAAGTGCATTATTTAAAGTGATTACGTCACGAAATTTCTATGGTAAAATTTTATAAAAAAAATTGCCATTTTTTACATTAAAAGTAAGAATTAATGGGACTATCCGTATCGTCAAATTCTTACCTGATAAGATTGTTTCTCAACTAGTTAAAAATCCAAAAAACTGGATGATTTGATATTAATGTCCTCAACATTAATTTCTTGCTATGGGCTATGTATGAGTCACGAGTGTATGTTCACATCAAACAATATAATAAAACAGGAAGTATAATGCAGCAATTTAACCATAAAAAGTAAACAGAATTACTTATATTTTGTGAAAAAGTGGAAATATTTTTTTATTTGTACTATTTAGCGTTAACGCAATCACTTTATTTGTGTGGCTGACGACCCTTTTACGTTTATGTTGTAGAGCATAGAACAGATTAAGCCGCAGACTGTTCAACCGGAGAAGCCTGCGCTCAACCGCGTAGATGAAAAGGTTAGTACATATATTTAGGGATCTAATGGAAACGAGATGAACGGTGCACGGCATTCCAACCAGACGCACTGATTTGTCAATCAACTGGTTGTACTCAAATGTCAATTCTGCTGTACATCAAGGGTCGGGAATCTAAAGTGTCACGCTGCGGTTAGCACAGCAATCTACTGGTATCATGTGTTATCTGTCACCAATCCTCCTGACATACACATAGCTTGACATACACGCATGGTTTTTACACATGCAAAAACAACAGGATGGACATGAGACTACTCTTTTGAACACATTCTCAGAGTTTGTCATTTCAATAATGTAGGTCCAAATGTCTTAAATTTTTAGTATTGCGACGAAGGTTAAAACAACACTGGATGCATTGCATTGCGACAGAACAGCATGTGGAATTCTGAATTTGAGATTGAATGCAGTATCAGATTAGTGCACTCTTTTAGGAATGTGTTCTGGTAACATCGATGAAAATCCTCATTCACCAATGCAAATGGTGGTAGCACTGTTTCTTGCTGTTGTTGTAAACCCACGTCTTGTTCCCACTGTGTTGCAGGTTGCTGAGAAAAACTTAGAGAATAACATGAACGGTACAGCGGAGTCTGCAGGCGGAGATGAGGAGATAAAGTCTAAACCTGTGATTGGCGGACCGAAGTATGAATATCAGGACGGTATGTTTTTGGTTAATTGAATTGTGTGTGTGTGTGTGTGTGTGTGTGTGTGTGTGTGTGTGTGTGTGATTAGTTGTTAAACCGGTTAGCCTTGGCGGCTAGACGGGAATCATACAATAAGTCTAATGGAAGTATATTCATGATTGTGTTAAATGATGTATCTGTCTAAAACAGAAACAACACGTCAGGTCAAAATGTGTTATTCATGTCCATGTGACAGGCTTACATAAGTACCAATATACAAGTGCCTTTGTTTGACTTTGTTATGCTGCTATAGTGTTATTTTCTCGAAGGAATTTTAGAATACCAGTATTACATTACAATCTAGTGAATTTGAATGTTTGACAATTTGTAGGTCAATGGAGTCCGATGAACAAGTCTGGGAAGAAAGCATACGATAGAAGCTTTCTCGTCCAGTTTCAATGGGAACCACCATGTGTTCAGAAACCTGACGGCTTACCGAGCATTGAAATCATCAAGGATACGGTATGCATGTTCCTAATTTTCCCAGTTTGTGTTTGGTTCACTGTGGCATTTTACTGTTCATTTTTAGCTCATCTGACATAGTCAGATGCAGCTTGTAGAATCGCATGATCGTCCGTCCGTCCGTCCGTCGTCAAGATGAGCTATTGCCATGTGGTGTCGTCCGTCGTACGTCCGTCCGTCCGTCAACATTTTGCTACAGTCAACGATAACTCAAGAACAGTTTGACCCACATGTTTCAAATTGCATGCCGTTGTTACTGCTATGGGAGAGGTTTGAACGTCCTATTTTGGAGTACGCCAGTCGACCTACTTTCTAGCCACGTCCACTTTTTGGCAAAAATGGAAATGGCCATGTCAATTCAGGTTTAACGGATTTTGCTCATTTCTAGTATGTGAATGAATATGGACTGGCCCCAAAACATATCATACGGGTTTTGATATTTTTTTTAAATTATGCAAATTAGGTAGATTTTGGCAATTTTACTATGCATTTCAGTGTCTGCCTACGGTCAACGATAACTCAAGAACCGTTTGACCCACATGTTTCAAATTGAATACAGTTGTTACTCCTATGGGAGAGATTTGAATTTCCTATTTTGGAGCACGCCAGTCGACATACTTTCGAGCCACGCCCACTTTTTGGCAAAAATGAAAATGGCCATCTAAATTCATTCGATTTTGTTAAATTTTGGTATGTGAATGTGTAAGGCTAGTCCCAAAACAGTTGTTACTCCTATGGGAGATATGACAACGTCCTGTTACGTTTATTTCATCTAACTGGTCAACAACTCTACAATCATACAGGATATACGTGTAATATTGTGTTTTAGATTCTTCGTTACATTCATCGTGGAATATTTTATTGTTTTTATTTGCACGATATTCGAAAACCAAAACGGCGATCATTTAGGCGTAGCGCCATCTCTCGTCAAGATTTCAGACTTTCAGATCTGAAACATTTATTTTCACATCAAAACTCATGCATATATTGATCATTATCAAGAGTATATATAATGGGAGATATGCTATATAATGGGAGTTTTCCCATATATACTCTTGCTTTATATATCCCCCCTCCCTCTTCTATCACACCCAAGGTGAGCTACATGACAGTTGTGACATTGATGCTTTTATTTATGAAAACTCACAAACACTAATGCAACTAGTGTATCAAAAATAAACCTTCACAAATGTAGCATTTGTTCTCATGAATGTTTTGTTTGTGCTCGTATCCTGCAATACTACTGCACAGGTCGTCAGTGTTGCAATTGTCTCAAACAATTATTGGAGACCGATCTTACAGCAGTTATTGCTATTACCAAATTCTCATAATTGTTAGCCGTGCTACCACGTTGTCTGTAAAAGCGTTTTGTACTGTAATATTAAGCTTGGGTTTTTTCATAGTCCCAATTTATTTATGACTGATTGTTCTGAAAACAGCCACCAATGTTGCATTTCACAAGTTGATTTACCTTTGCACATATCTTTCTTTCACTTGACACGTATGTTTTAATAATGTATGTAGGTGGATCTTTACTGTGTATGTGTGTGTGTGTTAGGGTGCAAGTGTGCGTGTGTTTCCTGGTGTAGTTATGTGTGCATGGTACGATGGCGCGCTGCAGTGAGTTCAGTAACACATCGTTGACACAGTTACCCGTGTGCGCATCGCATCATTGCACGTAAAGATCACGTGTTAGCCATTCTCATTTCTGCTGGCAGTGTGCTTGCGACCACGCATGTGTAAGTCACGTTGATTCAATACTGTAAGTAGGTGTCTTTCAACGTCTGTGATTTGTTATTTGAGAACGTGCGACGTATAGAACAACGAAATGACACCGTCTGTCTGTACAGGTCGAATTCTAGGGGTCTCCGTTTGCGTAAGTCTGATCGTACTATAGGTTTCGGATTGTTACATTGCCCAAAAGTCTCAAGGTTGCACACCCGCATTCTAACTTGTTCGATGTTTCGCAACTCCTGTAGCTTGCTGGCTCTTCTCTGTGTTTTCTCAACGCAAGCTGACGGTGGCCATGCGGTCTGCATTTCCATGTCTAGTGTTTGTGCTGAAGCAAGGAGCAGCAAGCTTTATATATAGCTCATGAGCTCGGCGTGCAGAGAGAGGTGGTTTATGTTACACTGGTACAGCGGTAATAGCAGCAGCAGCGGCACCTCCCACCCTACGCTGCTGCTAAGTTTAGCAACGTGCAGAGAGCTGCTACTAACAGCAATGGCCGCTCGTCCCGTCCGCACGACTGCTGTTAGACACTTTTGCAACTTCTATTTGCTTTTGTCGTGAATTGGTGTGCAATAATGGCGTGACTGGCGAGAGGATTGTGCGAACAGTGGATTTAGTGTGTCAGCGGAGGCAGAGCGATGCCACGGAGGCATTCGAGCAGACGGAGAGATGGCTCCGATCCTAACAGATCAAACTGGAGAAGCGATTCTGCTGGTTCGGAAACGGCTGCAAGTAATGGCACGCGCACACGCCGCGATAGCAGCTGTGGTAAGGCTGGCGGAGACGTGTGCCCAAGTCCCCGTGCATGCCCCGTGCATGCATATTTTCGCATAGGATTTTGGTTTAAATCTGTTTCGTGAACTGGGAATGATTCAATTGACAATACTTATCCATACAATATTAGTCTGCTTATGTTGGAATTTATTAGTTAGGAGTCTGACATGCTCGACTTGGAGGTTCATTTACGTTTGTTGATTACACTAGCATTCGCGAGTGTAGGTCTGTTGAATTGGTCATCAAAAACGTCCCGTAGCTGGTGGCGAGCTATTCGTTATGCTGTGCGATTACACAGCATTCGTCGCTGCTTTCATCGCAGCCGTCTTGCAACGGATCCACCGGGAACAGGTTTTTAGCCGTGTTTTCCGCCTGTCTCATTCCTGAGCCCGTGAGCCGCGCCTATGGCAACCCATGTACAGCACTTGGATTTTGCTCTGAAAACAAGTCTGAAGGTGGCCACGCAGACAGCCGTCTAATGACTATTTTCGCTTAGGTGCATGCCACTGCCTCCTATTTTAATAGTGATTGAACGTATGGCATGTTTGTTAGTATTTTGTTACCCATCGGCCTACACTTAATTATCTTTTTCCACCTTAGAAGATTGTTGGTGACCTTTGCCTAGTTGCAGGTTGGCCTGAGCACTGTTTTTTATGGGCTAAGTGTCGCACTCATTTTCCATGTGGTAATACATGAGTGAGCATACAGTGCCCTCGTGTCATATTTCTGGATAGAATAGCCTATATGTGCATGGGAGTAACCTTGAGCAGGCCTCGCGTACCTCTGTTAAAACTATCTTATTTGAAATTACTGATGGAAATGTATTTACTCTTGATTTTTATTATAAATAGATGACAACTTGACACCAACAGTTTCAGTATATTAGATATCTATAAGTAGCTCTGTTCACCTGCTATCACTGAGCCAAATAAAAATGCTCTAAATGGTAAACGTTTTGCTTTAAAAATAACATGTCTGCTGCTCTGCTGTGGTAGTTTCAACTGGTAGGTTTTCTGGTAGCGTGCGCAATGGTTGAGTGTTGTCTAACGAAACTCGATTCTGCAGTTCGGTAAGGTTTGCTCAACAGGAAGTTGTGGTCGTATACGCCTGTGGAGCTATTCTCTGACCCAAATTCGCCATGTTAGCTATATGCTTGGCTTGTTTTGCAACATGTTTGTGACCTCTTCAGTGTCCAGTGTCACATCGTTATTCCACTGATGTTATCCGCTTATTAGACAAATTTGTTATTGTGTTAAAAATGTTTTTTTTTCTTTTTGAATTTAAAGGCTTTAATAAGTAAATATGATAGATTTAAAGCATATCAATTGATGTTATTATTGAATAATTTGTTTTTTTTTACGTGTGGATTATATATGCTATCCGCAATTGTAATATAATATGTATGGTTCATACTATATTTAAATCTCTAGATCCCACCAATTTTAAATTCTGCATTATAAATTAAGTAGGTAGTAATATATTTAACACATAATAACATGATACCGTAATATCAGTCTAATCTGTTTTTGTTACCTAATGGCCCTATCACACCTTGACGATTTAGCCAGCGTATGCCATCAGATGAAAAATTTGGTGAATACGCTGGCGTCCGTCGAATAAGTTATGGGTAAGTTGTGTATAACTATAAGTGAAGAGCACGCTGAAGCACGCTGATATACGTCGTAGTACGGCGACGTCGTCGAAAAATTTTGTGCATGCACAAAAATTTCTGACGTATGCCAGCGTATGCCCATACGTCCCGCATACGCAGGCCATAAGTTGTAGGTAAGTTATGCGATCGTTGACACACGTTACTTGTAAGTTACTCATAAGTCGAAATACGTCGAGATAATGTCTAGCGTACCCAAAACTTATTTCTAACCTATGAGTAACGTGCTTTGAACCTATGTGTAACTTATATCAAACTTATCTCCAACGCATATTGACGTATGTAGACGTATTTGACGTGTTCAGGACGACCACAGAACTTACTGAACGTGTTTCTAACTTACAGCTACCATATAATGGCGTATTGGCAGCGTTTAGGGGAATTGGTATATATAAAAATGGTATTGTCATGTTGATACTGCGACGGTGATGTTGATACTGCGACGGTGATGTTGATACTGCGATGTCTAGTGCGGTTATGAATTGAATCGTCGAGCGGCAGCCTTTTTATAGGCTACTAGCTGCGGGTACCCGCTGCGCTGGGTAAAATCGTGCTACTAATTCATACTACTAATTCATACTACTAATAATGGGACACAATAGGAACATTGGGTAAAAATCGACAATAACATTGCACACAATATGAATATTTAGAAATCAGTCTAATAAGATAATAAGCATGGGAAAAACTGTTACGTATGACATTTATATGACAGCACAACCCAACTTAGAGTTAGAACCCCTGGAACATAATAGTAATATGGTGTAAATGACAAAAAGTTATTATAACAGCATGTACGAATGGGTTGCACTTTTCATTTGAAAACCTCTTGATAAACAATGTTTTTCGTGTTATTCTCTGGTGGAAATATGTAAAAATTCCTGGCGTCTCGAACTGTTGAGCTCCCCACGTACGGCACGTAACAGCATGTACGAATGGGTTGCGCTTCTCATTTCAAAGCCTGTTGATAAGCAATGCAGTCGTAACCTCTGAACTGGCTGTGCTCTGTTTTAGCTCGGTGCTCGGTTTCGGTTTCACAATACCAGCAGCTGGTGGAATGAGTGATCGATTTTTCTCTGTGTGGCAGCACTGTACAGTCAGTGCTGACATTGTGTGAAGATTCACGAATTGAGGGGTTTTTCACGGATTTTTCGGTGAGTTTGATGGTTTGGCAGGTTTTTTTCAGCTAGGAACACTCCCCGGGTATAAGAGATGGCCCTGTGAAAATTGCATCCAGATCGCTTGGGCGGTTTGGCCGCCTATAGGGAAGATACATACATACATACATACGTACTGACATACGAACTCAAATATATATTAGATGACATGTGATCATCGGCGATATGCTGCCGCGCGCTATGCATAAGTTAGACTCTCGTTGGGCATAAGTTGTGAACGCCGGCAACACGCTAAGCATTCGTTGGTATAAGTTATATAAGTTATCGAAACGTTCTATATACGTTACTAATACATAACGTATACGTCCAACTTGTTATGAATACGCTATGTATACGCCCAAAATTAAAAAAAGCATTGATAGTTCAGCGTATACCAGCATTTTAGAGAAATTTTGATACGTCGGTATACGCTGGCTTTCATACGTTGGTGTGACAGCGCCATAAGCTGTGTTGGAATTAAATGCTGTACTTCAGCAAACTAATAGCTTGGCGTAAAGTTGATTGATAAATACGATTGGGATTTTATTCTGCCCAAAACACTGCCCATTGGACTATGCATTGCTGTATTGATTTTTTTTTAGCTATATAAAGAAGATAAACTTTAGTTGTAACTTAATTGCCTGAAATTGGAGAGAAGTATGACTGGCTAGGTTTTCAGGTGAAACTGAAATATTAAACTAAACAAAATTTCTTATCGCCTGACAAGTGTAATTGCACTTGCATATGTCTGCATTAACAGGCAATTTATAGTTATTACTTGCTTTGCAGCGAAAGACTCTAACAAGAAGAATGGCGGCAAGGCACGTAGCCGTGATCTAAAGAAGGGGGCCGGATCCAAGGATGGAGGAGACGAGATGGATGCATTCCGAGTCAAAGATAGCGAAGCGGTAAGACAATGAGCATGCACCATCGAAGCTGTTACTTGCGTGAGCCTGAAGGCCCTGCTAATGACTGCATGTCTGACTGTTACTCAGGTTAAATCGGACGGTGTTCCAACATGAGTTGTCAGGCAGTTGCTGAAAGGGTTGTCCTGTCTTGTTTGCAGAGAGTATCTTCTCCTGCACCTGTCGAGAAACCCAGTGCAGAGGATGTCGTCAAGAAGGAGCCAGAGCCGGCTTTGCAGGGGCCTGTTCTTGCACACAAGCCCCTCTCTGGACGCCAGGTGAGCTGTTTTACCTCACAGGTATTGTCCATCTTTTCTGCACAAAAAATATCTCCCACAAATAAATGCGAAGTGCATTATTTAAAGTGGTTACGTCACGAAATTTCTATGGTAAAATTTTATTTAAAAAAAATTGCCATTTTTTACATTAAAAGTAAGAATTAATGGGACTATCCGTATCGTCAAATTCTTACCTGATAAGATTGTTTCTCAACTAGTTAAAAATCCAAAAAACCTGGATGATTTGATATTAATGTTCTCAACATTAATTTTCTTTGCTATGGGCTATGTATTGAGTCACGAGTGTATGTTCACATCAAACAATATATATAAAACAGGAAGTATATGCAGCAATTTAACCATAAAAAAGTAAATAGAATTACTTATATTTTGTGAATTATTACTATTATTTGTTATTTGTACTATTTACTGGTGACGTAATCACTTTATTTGTGTGGCTGACGACGTTTACGTTTATGTTGTAGAGCATAGAACAGAAAGATTAAGCCGCAGACTGTTCAACCGGAGAAGCCTGCGCTCACCGCGTAGATGAAAAGGTTCGTACATATATTTAGGGATCTAATGGAAACGAGATGATCGGTGCACGGGCATTCCAACCAGACGCACTGATTTGTCAATCAACTGGTTGTACTCAAATGTTCAATTCTGCTGTACATCAAGGGTCGGGATCTAAAGCGTCACGCTGGCGGTTAGCACAGCAATCTACTGGTATCATGTGTTATCTGTCACCAATCTCCTGACATACTACACTAAGCTTGACATACATGCATGGTTTTTACACATGCAAAACACCAGGATGGACATGAGACTACTCTTTTGAACACGTTCTCAGCAGTTTGTCATTTCATGAATGTAGGTCCAAATGTCTTAAATTTTTAGTATTGCGACGAAGGTTAAAACAACAACACTGGATCATTGCATTGCGACAGAACAGCATGTGGAATTCTGAATTTGAGATTGAATGCAGTATCAGATTAGTGCACTCTTTTAGGAATGTGTTCTGGTCACATCGATGAAAATCCTCATTCACCAATGCAAATGGTGGTAGCACTGTTTTCTTGCTCTTGTTGTAAACCCACGTCTGTTCCCACTGTGTTGCAGGTTGCTGAGAAAAACTTAGAGAATAACATGAACGGTACAGGCGGAGTCTGCAGGCGGAGATGAGGAGATAAAGTCTAAACCTGTGATTGGCGGACCGAAGTATGAATATCAGGACGGTATGTTTTTTGTTAATTGAATGTGGTGTGTGTGTGCGTGTGTGTGATTAGTTGTTAAAACGGTTAGCCTTGGCGCTACGACGGGAATCATACAATAAGTCTAATGGAAGTATATTCATGATTGTGTTAAATGATGTATCTGTCTAAAACAGAAACAACACGTCAGGTCAAAATGTGTTATTCATGTCCATGTGACAGGCTTACATAAGTACCAATATACAAGTGCCTTTGTTTGACTTTGTTATGCTGCTATAGTGTTACTTTTCTCGAAGGAATTTTAGAATACCAGTATTACATTACAATCTAGTGAATTTGAATGTTTGACAATTTGTTAGGTCAATGGAGTCGATGAACAGTTCTGGGAAAGAAAGCATACGATAGAAGCTTTCTCGTCCAGTTTCAATGGGAACCACCATGTGTTTCAGAAACCTGAGGCTTACCGAGCATTGAATCATCAAGGATACGGTATGCATGTTCCTAATTTTCCCAGTTTGTGTTTGGTTCACTGTGGCATTTTCTGTTCTTCATTTTTAGCTCATCTGACATAGTCAGATGCAGCTTGTAGAATCGCATGATCGTCCGTCCGTCCGTCCGTCCGGTCGTCCGTCCGTCGTCGTCCGTCCGTCAACAGTTGGGCACAAATCTTAACCGCTCGACGCTACGGTCACGATATATCGGCACATCGGGGGGGATCGTCAAACGAGTTGGATGTCGAAGCTGGGGGTCAACGGTCAAGGTCAAGAGGTGTAAAAGAAGGGGGAACATTCACTCCTTAACTTAAGGTATAGGGAGGAAATGCAGAATTGCGGCACAAATCTAAACGGCTCCACCTAGGCTCGTGATAGTCGGTGTATAGCATCATGGTAGGAAAAGCCATCACTGTGCGGAAATTGGAGTCACCGTCAAGGTCAGTGGCACAGGCAGATTTTAGACATTTTCTGAGGACATGGTCTGACGGAGCGATTGAAAAAACTTTTTTGTTTCAGCGGTGACCTAGCATTTTTATGGCTTTATTGAAAGGACCATGAAATGTCCCTTCTGCTGACATGCGAAGAGTAAGTGTCGGATAACCTTTTGACCCTCAAGAGGAGGGTTAAACTTGGATTGTTGACTGTCTGTTAGAAAGAATTTGACTGCCGGGTTTGCTAGTAGAATCTATACATGCCTGGATGTATGAGGCTACAATGTCACAGTGAAATTTCAAAAGCTAAATTTGGTTAAAGAAGGTGTATATTCCTTATATCGTATAATTTCTATGTCATTCTGTACTGTCAGTATGTTACATGTAACGTATGCCACTGCCAGTGGCTGTGCATGTGTTGGGGCAGTTTTGCCTGCATTAATTGGTTGCAGGTGCAGCTCTCTATTGCAATTTGCAGCCTGTAGGCTTGCGTAGGTAAATGGATGAGTGCTTACCTATTCTGTCTTGCAAATAGTTGTTGCTACTACGAATGATGGGAGCTTCCATCTTTAATCTGAAGACACTTAAACGTACGCGCCATCTCGTGGCAACTTTCATAACGATCCCAACGAACATTCTTTTGAGAAGGTTCCTGATACCATCCCTGTGCATTCCACTGTTTCGGCGTGTATGTGAACACATTTGGGACTAACAGGGTTTACTAGAATCCCTCCACTCCACCACAGAGTCACCGCAGTAGACGTTAGATGAGCGCTGTCGCTATGCGGCACTTGTTCATCTACAGCCCAGCAGGAAGCCAGCATTTATTTTTCTGTCAAATTCACACTTGAAATTATTTTGATGCAGCCAAATAAAAGAAGCACTGCCATTGATGGTGTGCGCAACCCACCGTCGTTGATACGTGGCGGAGGAGGCTTCAACCCCAGTGGCAGCTCAGCAGACTTTATAATACCTGGCTTCATGAAGTCTTCACCAAGAGTGCATGTAAGTGAAATTATATTATGAAGAGAGGGGGTGGCAGGAGGGAGCGATGGAGAGAGCAAGGTCAAGAGGTGATGCTGCAGTAATTGTGTAACCACTATGTTTATCACCAGCAGGGTCCAAGCAGTGGGGGTAATGGAAGCATGGGTAGGCGACCAAGCCAGCAGAGAGGAAAGGTGCAAAAGGTGATCAGCATCTCACGCTCTATTAATGAAGATGTGAAGCTGCATGAGTCTCGAACAGCATGGAAACCTTCGCATAAGGTCGCGAAAGATGAAGACCCAGAGGGGTTGAAAACTGAGGTAAGTAAAGTTTGATTCTCTTGTTCTGATACCACATCATCTTTAATTTTGACCGACAACACTATTTAGAAGTGTTTTATCTGGATAGTTAGGATTGGGTAATTCCTGGGTATGCAATCTGTGACAGAAATATGAAAGAGATGAATTTGAGGTCTGATGTTATAATCAGGTGTGGTTTTTGTTTGCTTGTAGGCATTGTACAAGGTTGTGAGGAGCATTCTGAACAAGCTGACTCCACAGAAGTTCAAAACCCTTGTTCAGCAAGTTAATGAACTTAGCATAGATACAGAAGAAAGACTAAAAGGTGTTATAGATCTTATCTTTGAAAAGGTATGTGGAAATCATTGTGTAATAGATTGGTCAATAGTTCATTTGCAGTCGACAAGCAGAACCTTGAGTTTATAGATTAAAACTCGTAGTCGACTAAACTTCCAGTACATCATTGCTCAGTGTAATATATATGTCTGCTATACTAACTTACACTAATTATCCTGTCAATGTTTCCAGGCTGTGTCCGAGCCAAATTTCAGCACACCTTATGCGACTATGTGCAAGTGCCTTATCCTGGTGAGCTTTCTGTTATTTTGCTATCTGTTAAGTAGGGTTCGAAATTAAGGTAGCAAGCAGCAATTTTGTTGCCTATAAGGGTTAGTTTGCTGCCTGCCTACACTGAGGTGTAGGTGGCAAATACTTGCTGCCAAGAAATTTGTGATGAACCAAAGCCAAAGCACCATCTTTATTGGCAATTTTTATTAAAAGTGATGGCTAGTTATTCGGGATTGCTTTTTGTTGCTGATGTTACCATTCGTACTTTATCGACGAGCAATTTGGATTAATGGCTATATTTAGAATGAATAAGGGGGAAATGGGATTAGAAGGCCTAACGACCTTTCTTGCGATAGGACAGTGCTGTTAGGGTGGGAGGGAGTAAAACTGCTATGGTTTTACGAGTTTCTGCCTGGGTGAGTTAGTTCACTACCAGGTTTTTTCTCTGGTAGCAAGTACTTGCCGGTATGTCAGTTGATTTTGTGTAATTGGTTTAAACTAAATCCTGAAGGTATTTTGTACCTATCAAAAAACAGATGGTTTCTAAAACCAGCATACTTTTCTGAAAATCACAAATATTTTAAGCAAATGACCGAGTCCCAGTAAAAATGTTTATAGATAAATAATTATTAATTAATTTAACAAGATTACTTCTTGGTCGGTTCTTGCTGCTGCTCTTAAGTCAGTATTTGACCTGCGTCTTTAGTTCTGTAACACTGGGGTAATATAGACTGTCCATGTTTAATTTATAGGTAGGTAGTACGTGCCATCTGTTGGAAATCAGAGTAAAAAAAACGAATAATCTATCCACGAGCTTACTCGTGGATCCGCGGGGATGCGTTTTGATTGTTCCCACGAGCTTACTCGTGGATCCGCGGGGAACGTGTTAAAATGAGAAATCTGTTGTGGCCATTCAGGTAAAAGTTCCATCTGAGAGTGGCCCTGACGTGAACTTCCGCAAGGTCTTGTTGAATCGTTGCCAGAGGGAGTTTGAGAAGGACAAGTCAGATGAGTTGGAATGGGAGAAACGACAGGCCAAGATAGCAGAAATTACTGATGTAAGTCCAATACTTCCTCTCCACCTTTCTGCGTTCATACTGTACAACGTTTTTACCTTGCACTTCCCACACTATGCACACATTCGTACATTATTTGGATTGTAGGAAATGACCATAGTATACCCTCTGACATTTGTTTCCTTTATTGAAAATGACAGGGGCCCGTTGTCAGAAACAAAATTAGTCTTAACATTAGTCTTAACATTAACAATTTCTCCTAGACCGTCGACATCACTTTGTTTCGTATTGTTATGAGGAAATCTGCTACGATTTTTCATTCTCGTAACTTCGCAGCGTTTCTGTCAACGGTCTAAGAGAAAAAGTTAATGTTAAGACCAATTTTGTTTCTGACAATGGGCCCCAGGTTGTTTGTTTGATACGTGTCTTTGTTTCTGATCTTTCGCGTAATAATTTGTGGCGTTTATTGGTCAGTATACGGAAGGCATGTTGAAACAGACGTGAGGACAACACCCACTAGTGACCTGGGATTGTCACTAGGTATTATGAGCCTATGATGATTATTCACCCAGTCAGAATCTTGGCTGTTGAACAAATGAATTCCTCGTTTCTGAGGCTCTGCGGTAATTGTGTTAGCAGCGTACACAAGCCATGTGCAAGAAGCTGTGCTTGCTGCTGAAATAGCATGTTTTTGAGCCGTGCTTTTATGCTGTTTAACAGGAGCAGGAAAAGAAGACTATGCATGCGGAGTTGGAGCTAGAGATGTCAAATGCAAGACGACGGTCCCGAGGAAACATTAGGTTTGTTTTAATGCAATGAGTTTTGGAATCTGTTCACGACTGGCGCTTATCTCGACATATCAGAACATCATTTAACCTGTTAGTATTGACAACTCTGATTATAGTTTTCTTCATATGCCATTAATATAGCCGGTATCTTTGTTTATGTTAATATTCTATGCCAGTGCTTCTTAAACCGGTGAATGGTTCACCCACGGGTGATTGAAATTATTTTGGTGTGAATGAAACTTACCAAAAACATAAGGAAATTTAGTCACGGGTGAATGAAATTTTGTGGTAAAGACTCGAGACTGAATGACACTAAAATAGTTTAATTAGCACTGCTCTATGTTATACCTTACCTTTTGCTTGCCTATTTGCTTTTATATGCTTGCCTGTTTACAATATTTTTTTTTGTCTTGCCTGCAGGTTCATTGGCGAGTTGTTCAAGTTGAAGATGCTCACCGATCTTATCATGAATGATTGCATCGACAAGTTGCTCAAGTCCGATACAGACGAGGATGCCCTCGAGTGCCTGTGCCAGTTGCTGTGCACCATTGGCAAAGAGCTAGACAATGCTGCCAAGAATAAGGTGCATATGTACACAGCATCACATGGTCCGCTACCTTCTCGTGATAATGTACAACAGAGAGGCACTGCCCATTTGAGGGGTCGTATGATTGTTTTTTCGATATAAAGGCAAATTGTATGTAAGTTTGATGGATGCCATTGTAACATCGACGAAGATTTCTACTGAGGTCGTGGTTTGTCCTGCAAAGTGTGATTGAACTTGTTTTGTTTTTTAGGAACTCATCGAACGGTACATAAGTCAAATGGCAAGCATTGTTAAATCTAAAAAGGTTTCATCAAGGCTCGTGTTTATGCTGCAAGAAGTGATTGAACTTAAATATGTAAGTGACACACAATTGTGTAAGCATGTTTTTCTGTGGTTATTGATTGTAGTGCCTTGAAGGATCAGAGCTGCGTACATCTGGTCAGTGTGTACGAAGCTCCTTAAAAGCAAAGGCAGAGCAGAATGACTACTTATAATAGGGCAGGAATCTATATCTTATGTAACTTCTGCCAGAGCATGTAGTCGACATGACGAGATTTTTTTACAAGGAGCAAGGCTACTTGGTAGCATTTCCTCAGTCTTGTTCTCACTGAACATGACTTAAGTATTATCAGTAGCTGGTACATGCAGTGGTAACAGTATACAGGTTTTCTGAAAGAGTGTGTCAGATACGAGTGCTTTGCTTTCTTTGTTCAGTCCAACTGGGTGCCACGACGTGTGGAAAATGCACCCATGACAATTGATCAAGTTCATCTAAATTATGCGAAAGAGGAACAAGAAACGCAAATGGCAATTCAACAGGCTGCCACAGCCAAGCGCGATGACCATTCGAGGAGGAGGGTGTCACAGCAAAGTGAGTACATATCTAAAGAGATTTATGTTGACATCCTGCCATTATTTATGATATTGCATAACGCTGTGTGTGAATAGATTTTGAGAGTGCTTTTTCTGTGAATATTTTGTTAAAGATCGTTTCCTCAAGTGTTGGCTCTCAATGTGGCTTTTCTTTGGTATCATGATCTGGTCTGCACAATTGTTGCAAGATTATGTTAATAGCTTGTTTAGTGTCGCCTCGAAGTGTCCGAGCAGTGTTTGACTATTCAGTGTTGACAATGCTCCGGGAAAGCAGAGGCAGAGCAGAAAGGCTGCGTTAATAGGGCAGGAATCTA